GCTCGCACTCACTCAGAACACGTGCATGAAGATCAACGAGATGCGAATACTGCTGTTGCATTCGGTCGTGACACCGCTCGAGAGCATCGAATCTCTCGCGAAGATAAGCAATCTGTCTCAAGTGCTGAAGGAGGGTGAAGCTCATTTCCCACACTGGCACTCTCCAGAATCGTTCAGCAATCTCCTCATCTGTAATATCTCTAGACATGACGTGCAAGAAGATGCCTGAGGCACGTGTTACTCCAGCTGGCTGAACACGTCAAGTAGTACCACGACCGAACGGGAAGAAGAACCAAAATTCTCGAACCTTCAGTTTGGCTGAGGAGGATGTTGAGGAGGTCGGGTTCAAGGACGTAGGTGTGCAGATTGGGCTCTTGATGTATGTTTCTGAACAAGCACTCCAAATGAAAGTCTCGGGGCAAGATTCTGACCACTTGCAAACGGGCTTGGGGCACGCGCTGCCACCACTCAGCACTCTCTGAGCTTGCTGCTTCCAAAGATGATGAAGATTCGTCCATACACGAGGCAGCAGGGTAGGTTAAGAATGCATACAGTGTGTTTGCACAATGCTGCAGAAAGCAAAAGGCAGCGGTGTGTGTGCATTCACAGACAGGGTGACATGCATCCACTGACTGCTGAAGCACGGGAACAGAGCTTGCTCTAGAAGTGCTAAACGGATTGTGCACGTTCCTCAGCAGCACATGCCGACATGGACTGGACCATGAGAACTCTGAACGTCCAATGCATCAGTGGAACCCTCGTGCACTGGTTGCTGTTTCATCACTCGCAGCAGTCGGCCGGAAACAGAAAATTAGAATGGCAGGGCAACAGCCACTCCATAGACCTTTGCATAGCAACTCTTGATGCAGTAGGCCTCACGGCATCTAGCAGCTCCAGCTACCCTACATGCCGCATGAAGTCGCCAATTGCCTCCACCCGAGATTCCAGCCTTTAGGCTTGTCCCACTTCTCACGCCGATTCCCACCAGAGCCCTGCCACGAGCTGCTGGAGCCGTAATTCTTGGATTGCCCCCAACCCTTGCCCCATGAAGACTGCTGGCTCTTCCATGGGGTGGACTGTTCTTGCCACCGGGAGGAATACTTCCAAGAAGAAGCTGCCTCAGCTCCCTTCTGTGCGGAAAGGGATGCCTGGGCCTGTGGGCCCGACGCCACGCCAAAGGCCGCTGTCGGCACTTGGCACCAGTGAAATCCTGGCTGCGTAGCTCGCATGCTAGAAATCCCAACACTTGGGGTCCTCGGCTGGGTCTCTGGAAACCTGTCTCGGCGCCCACTTGGGCTACGTGATCTAGACGTCCTTCGGCTCCTGTCTCTGCGTCTTGAGCGACGGCTGTCACTGCTGCTTCTGTTCCTTCTGCGGCCCATGGAGGCAGAGCCTCGGGATTCACCGCCCGGAAAGAGGGGCCACGGAAACATGTGGGCTTTCGCCTCTTTTTCTTTGCCCCTTGGCTTTTGTTTCCTCTCGGAATCTTTGCGACCCTTGCCCTTGTCTCTCCTTTTTTTTTTTAAGCCGAGAAACAGTCAAGGGATAAACTCAGATGTCAGCACGTCGTTGCCTTCAATTGTGCAATCAAGTGCTGAGTTCATAACAGCCTGCGCTCCTTCTGTTTTCAAGCTCTCTAGAGAATCCTTTCATCTCGACTAGACGACTCATCGGTGCCCTTGCACCTCTTGTCGGCCCTTGCCGATCTTAACTGTCGTCACGGCCTGAAAGAATAGGCTGCCCTTGCAGCGACGTATGAAGCACACTCATTGTGTGCATTGAATATTGGCCCTTGCCATTTTCAGCTGCCCTTACAGCAGAACTATTTGAGTTGCCCTTGCAACAAATCTCAACGAGCTGACCCTTCAGCCGATCTTTAACCACGACTGCCCTAGCAGCTTGATCTCTCTTGAGCTGCCCTTGCAGCATTCTTGAAACTGCCCATGCATTATAATTCTCTCTGAAGACTTTTTCACTTCGAAGAACACCACCTGAAGTGCAGCAGTGTACAGTTGAGAATGTGGTTCTATCTGCAAAGGTCCAAAACAAACTAACATGCTTCACAAACACGAACCACGCAGCCACTCGCAGAGACAGTGCGAATGCAAGCACTGATTGCTCGTACTTTCCGTCCCTTAGCGTCTAAGACCTGTTGTCAGGGCAGGACGGACACGCTGCTGAACTCTCTTGCTTGGCCATCGGCTAACGAAGAGGGCACTCCAGGTCCCCACATCAAGATGCCTGGACGGGGCGTGAACTGCACATGCTGAGTCTTGATTCTGCTTCAGGAGAAACGTGTAGACAAGGGTACCTTCACACCCAGGACAAAGCTTCCAAACTTGGTTCCCTGCAAGATAAAATATCTTGACCTGACGTGTACAACTCTCGCAATTGACGAACACAGCTACCAGCTGCAGCAAGTTCTGAAACCTAAGACACTAGCTCGTCTCCAGAAGTCTCCTTGCACTCCAGCAAACTTCAAGCGGCAACAATGCACAGCAACTAACGCACTCACAAAGTCTCCAAGATAGACCTGGAGAAAAGAATCCTTAAATTGCGTCCTGGCTCAGACTACAAAAACGCACACATGCTCCAAGAAAACTCAAGAACATCAAGGCAACTCGGCTTCAAAACCAAGCGTGAATTGTAAGCTCCAAACGCCATCGACCTTCTGTGAGGCTCCCGCTCCCCCCACCAGGCAGCAGGATGCTAATCCCCCAGCACACTTGGCTGAAGGCAGAAAATTTTCCCCGACCCTCTCCACGAGGGTCGTGACTGAGAGGGCTGTGGCCTTTCTTCGTCTGAGCCGAAAAACTTTCTCATTCGGAGAATTCGAAAATTTTTCTCCGGAAAATAAAGGTCTGTACTTGCAGCACGATAACCATCAATCATCAAATGGTCACAAGAGAGGACAATTTGGCCGGGGGCACACCCTTCCGGACGGAAGGGTGCACCCGCGATGCCCCATGGTGGTTAGCCAGTGGGGACTTCTTGATCAACATCTAGGACATGCCAAGAGCGACCTCAGAGCAAACAAGCAATGAGCCGAATCGCCGCAGTTATAACGATAGCCTGCGGCGCACTTGAGTAGCGCCAAGCGGTGCCCAAGCTGCTCCATGGTGATCAGCCAGTAGAGTTAGCGTTGGGTTCCGTCGCAAGGCCACACTGTAAGAATCCTGCAGCTAGCAGTGCCAACATGTCGATGCCACGTATTGAGAGCGCTCACACCGTGCCCAGGCTGCTCCATGGTGGCCAGCCAGTGGAGTTAGCGTGGGGTTCCTTCACTAAGCCACACTGTAGGAATCGCAGAGCCACACTGAAAGAAGCCTGTAACTGACAGTGCCAGCATGTAGAAGCCACGTATTGAAGGCGCTCACCAGTACCAAGGACTTAGCAAGCAAACCACATTATGTCAGGAATCACCAAAGCGATCCAGCAGACGCCAGACTTGGCATTCACGCGCAATCGCTTCCCATGGTGGTTAGCGACTGGGACAGTCCATGACTAGCCAGCGGCTACCGATTCCGTAGAGTTTCACCCATCTCACACGCGTTACTCAACTTCGACGAAATACTCCGAGAGCAGCGCCAGGTAGTGCAGTGAGATCGTAAAAGCCGTTGCGTGTCAGAATGTCAGAGTGCTGTTACGGGGTCGCTTGCTCGGCGCGGGTCTACACCTGGCAATTAGCCATAAACGCGGGTGCCGCTAGGCTGAGAGAGAAATGAGGAGCATTGCGCATCACTCCAACTCATCAGCAGACTGGACAGTCGCAGTGACACCGTTAGCCAATGGCGCACTTGAGCAATGCCAAGCAGGGCCCTGGGCGCTCCATGGTGGCCCGCCAGTGGAGTAAGGTAGGGCAACGTCACTCGAGCGAGAACGCAAAGGAGGTGTTTCCCTGGTTAGTATAAGAGCGAGAACGCCAAGGAAGTGCTTTGCGCATTGCGTTGGCCTTTGTCTGCAAGTAAGAGCGAGAACCCAGGTGTGTACTGTGAAGATTGGGCTTCCCCGTTGAAGTTTCCCGCTTGGCTATTCCCTCAAGACCCAAAAAGACCTGCTACTACTACTACTACTACTACTACTACTACTACTACTACTACTACTACTACTACTACTACTACTACTACTACTACTACTACTACTACTACTACTACTACTACTACTACTACTACTACTACTACTACTACTACTAGTGCTAGTGCTAGTGCTAGTGCTGGTGCTGGTGCTGGTGCTGGTGCTAGTGCTAGTGCTAGTGCTAGTGCTAGTGCTAGTCGTAGCAGTAGCAGTAGCACTAGCGCAGCAGTAGCAGCAGCAACAGCACTAGCACTCGCACTCGCACTCACACTCGCACTCGCAATCGCACTCCAACTCGCACTCGCACTAGCACTAGCAGTAGCAGTAGCAGGAGCAGGAGCAGGAGCAGCAGTAGCAAGCAGCAGCAATAGCACCAGCAGTAGTAGCAGTAGTAGCAGCAGTAGCAGTAGTAGCAGTAGTAGCAGTAGTAGCACTAGTAGTAGTAGTAGTAGTAGTAGTAGTAGTAGTAGTAGTAGTAGTAGTAGTAGTAGTAGTTGTTGTTGTAGTAGTAGTAGCAGTAGCAGTAGTAGCAGCAGTAGCAGCAGTAGTAGCAGTAGTAGCAGTGGTAGCAGTAGTAGCAGTAGCGGCAGCAGAAGCGGTAGCGGCGGCGGCAGCTGCCCTTGTAGTGGTTCATACATTACATGGTCTGCCTAGTCAAAGAACTGGGACCTGCGCATGCCGAGCAGTTGGTCACTGATGTTTTCCGCAGCGCTGTGGGCGCATCATTGTCATTCGTGGCGAGTCTCCGCGCGGCAGTCAGGCATTGTTCTGCCTCTCTGGCCAGCTCGAATTGGAATCAGAATCCAGACATTACAGCAGCATCCACCGCGAAAAGAAGGAGGTCCTGTCCACTAATAGTCACTAATATGCAAACACGGAAACTACCATGCCCACAACTCGAAAGCAGATCCTGCTGAAGCATTCCATCAGGTATTGAGGATGAGGAAGACCTTAGCTTGCCACACTCACACACGCTCCTGCATGCCGTCCACTAAATGGACTAGCACGGCAGATGGTGGCACAAACAATGTTGCGCGCTAATCCGCCGAGGCCGGAGACCTGAGGCGTTTAGTTAGATCTAGGTCGAAGGAACCTTTGTTGCCCGATGGTGGAGGGTACGCGGGGAAAGGGGAAAAGAGAACGCGTGCGAAATGAATTATAATATGCACGCGTAATGCTGTACGTTATAATATTAATATCGCGCGGTCACTACGTTCCTTGCATATTATAATATTATAACTCCGCGCGACACGAAAACCCTGGGCGAATTTGAAAATCTGCTTCTTTTGGCCATACCCCCCCCCCCCCCCCCCCGACAAGGGCCAAAAAACGGCAGGCTTGAGAAGACAAATGCTTCAGCATTCGCCTTTCCTAATATGTCACGACACACACACACCCTCACAAGCCTGCTACACGGCAGCCCTGTGATAGTCCGACGATAGCCCTGCGGTAGCCCCGCGATAGCCCTGCGAAAGCCCTGCGATAGCCCCTGCGATAGCCCCTGCCCCTGTGGTAGCCCCTGCGAGAGCGTGCATCTGACAGACCGTGGAGAAACAACAGTTACCAGATCTGTTCAGTCACTAGCAGCCACTCGCAGTGCAGTCACTAGCACGAGCTGAGAAGTCGTCTTCTACACCAGAAAAGAAAAAGAGCTCCAGCTGCTGCTGCGGTCAAGCTGCAAGGATGACAAACAAAACGATCGCACCGCCCACAGAATAGATCTGAGCCCTGACGCATCCACTCTCTCCGGAAAGCATGTACCACTAATTGGCTCTGTTTAAGCTTCCGGCATCTTAAGCGTGTTCAAAGCAACAATGCTTGACAAGCTCCAGCATAGTGCACACAGTCAATTGGCGTCGGTGGCGCTTGTTGCTCGTCTTCAAAAGGGCTCCCATGCCCTTTGTCACAACATCCATCCGCTCCATCTGGCATGCGCCAAGCTTGTGAAGCATGCAAAGCCGGAACTTGCCCAGTCGACTGGGATGCAGCCTCCTTCTCTATGTCCTGGTTTAACCTACACACACACCAGATCTGAATTGCTCGGCTCATTCTTTCGGGAGGTTCGTCTCAGCCCTGCTCAGGACCACACTCGTCCAGCAGCCTTTGCTGACCTGTCAGGCTCTCTTTTGAAGTCACTTCGGCTGCTCTTTGCCACCACTGCAAGATCTGGCCACTATAGCCGACCGAGCGGCTCTCTATCTCCCCATTGATGGTGTACGCGACCTGCAAAAAATAGACATCTTGAAGGCTTGAAGCCTGCAAGAGACAAAAAAAATCAAAGCTCCCCAAGGCACCCATGGTCCACATATGATCCCGCCCTGGGTTCGCCAGCCCCCCCACAAGGAGGAGGGGGGAGGCCCTAAGCCCTAAACCATGAACCCGAACCCAATCCCCTAGCAATCCTAGCAGAAAGAGGAATTGGAACGATTGGGAGGGGGGGGCGGGTATGTAGGCGGGGGGCGGCCGCACTCGGATCATTTGTACGTCCATTGTTTCTTGAAAACAAGCGCTGGTGGCAAGGGCAACAATGTCAAGCAATGGAGAAGCCGAATGCAACAATATTGGTCTACCGGAAACGGCACACAATTTCATCCGTCGCCCCAGAGACTGTCGTGCAATTGGGCAATGGGCACGGTATCGGGGAACCAAAGCCCGTAGTTTGAGTCTACGAAACGTCCATTAGTCTGTTCTGTCTATTCTATCTGATGAATCTTGTGTTGCGTTGGCGCATGAAGCGCGTGCTCCGTGGCCTGCCCGAGTCTTTGCGCGCCCTTCTCGAGGGCCTGCAGCTCATCCTGGTCGCAAGAAGAACGAGGCACGAAGTTCACGAAATTTCACGCAATTATTCAGGATGGGCAGGCCAATTTTTTTTTCCCGCTGGTGTTGTGGACTAAGCCCACCTTCACGAGCTTCCAGGATAACTACACACGCGCCATCACGGGACAGGCAGGACTATCTACTGGGCAAGTCCACTCAGCCACGGCTGCGACTTCGTTCTCTTTCAACACCGCTGGATGCCGTGCTGACACCTTGGACAGCTGAAGAACCGAGCTTGTTAAATCTACTACGAAGGCGTATGCAGATCTACATGTACCTGGCTTCTGCAGCAAAGGCTCCATTTGCCGCAGAGGGAGGGCCAAGCCCAGACGGATCTGCAGCAGGCATTCTGGGTAGCGCAGGCGCTCCCGAAGCCACGGGTGGGGGAGGTCCTGGCGGTCCCGAAGTTCCCGAAGGCTGCGAGGAGGCTCCCGCAGGTTGTGGGGGCGGCAAGGGAGGACTCCCTGGCTGCATTGACATTGAAGGCCCCGCTGGCATTCCGCCCTGCACCGGCGCGTTGCCTTGCATCGGCATGCCCATGGGGCCAGGCATCGGCGCATTCCCTTGCATGGGCAGGTTTCCAGGCGCCTGTCCACAACCCATCGGTGTGCTGGGGCCAGACATGCCCTGCATCGGCGAGCAACCAGAGGAACAGCCTGGCGAGCAGCCTGGCGAACAGCCTGCTGAGCAACCTGGGCCTTGCATGGCATTGCAGGGGCTCGACATCATCATCCCTGGCATCATGCCCGGCATCATGCCTGGCATCATGCCCGGCATCATGCCCGGCATCATGGGCATCATCATCATGGGCATGCCCATACCTTACTCGTTCAACGAACAAGAACAAGCAAGGACAAATCCAAGAGTGTCACTAGAGCCAAATCTGGCATGATCTCGCAGACTGCCAGGCGACATCCACCCATCGGCATGCTTCCCATCATGCCTCCAGGATGATGTTAGCATGGATATGGAGAGCCTATGTGCACCATATCCTAGCTCTGGCCGGAGACTGGCAGTGCATCAAATACGGGACACCCAATGTTTTATAGCCTGGCATCATTCCAGGCATCATGCCCGACGCAGGCTCGTCATCGGAGTCGTCATCGTCGGCAGGCTCATTGCCTCGAAACGATTGGCTGATCACACTTTACAACAGCTACAGTATCGAGAAATGTGTCGCTCACCGCTGCAAAGCCCTGCCTTCTTTGGCTTGCTGACCTCCGCCGGCCTGCGCCATTCCGGCAACACGCAACAACATCACTCAACCACTCGTTCAACATTCGTTCAGTCTCATTCAGCTGATTCATCTGACCCCGCATCCAACCTCGTGGAACGGGAAAAAAGCTTGTGGCGCTCCTCCCGCTGCTGCACCCTGAACAAGACTTGCTTAATCTGTTAATCTGGAAACACAGGTGATTGTTGCAAGCATAGGATTATTACACTGACCTGTCGATCCGGCGTTTTGTCGCGTTTCTCCGCATACTCACACGTCTGCACATACGCATCGATCAATTTCTTTGATTTCCTCGGTCAGCAAGAGACAACTGCGGGTCTTGCTGCTTTAGCTCCCGCTAGGTCGTGGAATCACGCATTATGCGCACGAGACGAGTCTGTCCGGGCTGCTTCATGGGTGCTGCTTCTGTGCCTTTTCACCCCTGGGGTTGCAGTGAGACGCAGCCCTGGACTTCATAAACGAGGGGAGGAGACATGGTGTTGCACTGGTCTCTTGCATTCATGCTGAATGTTAGAAGATGTCAGTTGACTGACATCAATTCCTAGATAGAGGTTATGCGATTCTGTGCCCTACTTTGACTTGCTCTACATCATCTTGCATTTGCAGTCACACAAGTCGACTTGTTAACACAAGATACGAGCACGACTTCCTGGCTTTCGACGGGCACGGGCTGCAACTTCCATTTGGGACATAAGCACTGCCGGTAGACGTGAGTTAGAGAGGGGCACCGTGGCAAAATTAACAGAAGCCATGTGTTTGTCCCTTTTCATGATGTTGACGCGTCTGGACCCAGTGGCTGGGTCTTTTTCCATGCACGGAAGAGATGCGGGAGACAGAGCCAAAACGAGTGAGAAGAAGCACATTTCACCAGGACAGTGATGGTGTCAAGACCCGAGCTTGTGGAGATGCACATAGATGGGGAGATGCACATCGATCGAGAGCTCCGACTCTGGCGATTACCTGCGTGTTGCACAAAACCAAAAACCTGCCGACAACAACCTGCTGGGAATGGGACAAGAGGATCAAAGCTGGGCAGGAAGATCATTTCCATACAGCGCCTCGACCCCTACTAGCTAGATGGGGTTGCAGGTTTGGGGGATGGTTGCAGAACCTCGCTGTTGCACAGCAGGCACTAGTTCATGAGGCTATGCAGCGTTTCGGAGGGTTACAGGTACGTTGTAGAATTCCCATGAGAAAGATGAAGGATCCAGCCAATAGCAACGTTGCTTCCGTCGATGGGCGCCCGGCACGGACGGCGCTTCAAACAAATCTAAAGCAAGCTACGCATGACAGGTCTTCTCTTTGAAAAGAAAGTGCGGATGTGTTGCAGCCCTTTTGCCACCCCAAAACAGTGCATTCAGCGTCATATCTGTTTCCAAGCATCAGCTTCTCGATAAATCTTCCGGTGAGATCGAACACTAGACAGTCCTGCCACAATCTCCAGCAAAGCTTCGCAAAAGGAACCTTCTCAGCAGGCTGCCTTCAGGGTGATGAAGGACTCCCGATCTTCTCCGCCAATTCGCTTGTCCACTAACTTTCCTGCAATCGCATGCTAGCGAACGGCGACAATCTCTGCGGGTGGCAAACTCTGCTCTGAAAGTGGAAGGCAACATGACGGGTAAGATCCATGCCCTCGTAGTCAGCATTGTCTTCTTCAGCACCATGCTTTCCTGCACACCTCATGCAGCAGTCCTACGAGCAGGAGCTACCATGTCTCCGCATGAAAGCCGGCCTATACGTGATTCGAACATAGCTGCCCATCTTGAAACCTGACGCAACCATGGAGCTTGTGTGAGCCGCCTAGCAGCCTAGCACTCCGTCAGCACTCGGGAGCCTCGGGTGGGCATTCGCCTGTTGCTAACCGGCTTGGTGCGAACCAAGCCCGCCTTCGGAGCGGACTTGACACTTAGACCGACTCCGCAAAAGCACACCTCTTGGTGAGATGAAGATAGATGAAGTGCATAAGTGGGCCAAGTGGGCCTGGCCACCCATGGGGCCCGACATGGTCTTTGCAGTCTCAGGCTAACTGCACCTGAGAACAGCACAGAGCCTTCACCTGCAAATGATGCCCGCAGATGCCCACAGATGCCCAACCGTGCCCACTAGGTTTGTCGCAGGCACGCGCTGTGCAGCCACACGCAGCGAGCGGAACTTGCCGTCTGGGGAACATGACGTCAGGCTTGTGCCGAGTAAGCTGCGAAGAGTCTCCAAGTGACATCGCACGACAGGCATTACAAAACGAAAGTCGAGACCTTCGGACTCCAGCTGAGAAACGACTGTCTCATACTGTCTCTCTGGTCCTCCTGCTGGGCAAGCAGCTGCTTCTGCAGCAAACGCTGCTCTTCCAGGAAGGCTTTGCTTTCCTGGGCCAGCTGCCTCAAAGAGCAAAACATGCCACAACTGGCACTTGCAAACCAAAAAGCAAAGACGATTGTTCCGAATGATGAGAAATGCTGCCTCTCTTCTGTTTCTTTTGCTTGTCGTTGATTTCGAAGGAGGACTTGCTTTCTGTCCTGGTGTTCATTCTCCGAAACAAGGAAAAATCCTGAAAAGATGAAAAGATGAACAGCGTTGCCACATGCGCCTCATCCAGTTTGTTCTGCACTGCGATGCTTGACAGGCTGGACTGGACCTCCTGGTGGGCGGCCTGGCCTGTAGCGTGCAGAAAGCAACCAAAGCAACCAAGTTTGGTCCTCATCTTGGATCTATCGAACTCAGCCAGAGAACTTTTAGGAAAGCTGGTCGGCAATGCTTCAAAAACTGCCCATGAAGGCGCTCGGACTGGGCACGGTGCTGGCAGCCAAGAAGTCCTGGAGCGCGGATCAGTATGAAGCTCCATCATCATCATCACCATCATCATTACCCTCATCATCACCATCATCATCATCATCCGGAGCACTGGGCCTTTCTCGCCGTCAGCTGGGCATCGCTAAGGCGGAATCGTTCTCGATTGTCCTCAACAGCCTGTGTGACACCAGCTATCCGTGAAAGCCGCTGCACCCGACTACCCGGACTACCCCGCCTTGATGCTCTGCTGCACCTGCCAGAAGGTTTCTCAAACAATTCGAACGCTGCAGGGGCTCTTGTTTGAACAAATGTTGGACACGAATGGGGGGCTTCGGACAGGACGACCAAGACGCCTAACTTTGTCCCCCTATTCATGTGTTTGATTAGATGTGGGAAATTATTCTTCGTGTTTCTCTGGTGCGTTGGCTAATTAGGTAGGATAAGATTCGACACAAAGCGACTGATCCTCTTGACCCACATGCCGGCCTGGGTGCGAACAGTTTCGTGTCCCTTTGTGCGGTGTCGGTGCATGCGTGAGACCGTTTGAACCTCGCCTTTCGCTAATGCTCTTCTGATGCAAACATGATTGTTGTCGGATAAGCTCGTTGAAAGTGTGCTGCAGTATGAAGATGAATCGAGCCTCGGCAAGATCACCGCTGAGCTGCGCCAACTCGGACTGGAGCTCTTTGTGGCAGTCCTCTGGAAGTAGCGATGGCACAAACAATCACAAACAACTTTCTTCTTCTCGCAGACGGCTTGAGCACACTTAAGCTCGAGCCTTGAAGAGGCGACTTTCGGCCGTGTTCTCACTCTGCAGCAATCGCTGCCACCTCCGCTTCATTCAACTCACTTTGATGACAAAAGCCCCGAGGAAACCGAGGACTGAACTCTCGGTGCATGCCACGCACCTACTGACAACGCAGGAGGGGGCGGGAGTTTTTCTTGAAATTTGCTTATCGGACCTTGCGGACGGCTGCTTCCACTTCATCCCTCGCCTTACGTCGCTCAGTAGATGCGGATGGGTTTCTGGAAGCGCAACTTCCACAAGTGTTCCAACAGGTCTCAGCACTGTCTGACAAATCACAGACTCAAATTTCAAGCCGCTGCTGTTCCAAGTTCCGGCCCTTCATGCAGTCTCTCTTGTTTTGCCTACTCCGGGATTGGCAACACCGGGTTCGCGGCAACATCAAACGGATCGCTGGATGTGGAAAGCATTGCTTGCAGTTTGTTTTGCAATGTCAAACGACGAGTACACGTCAGATGAACGCTGTGATCGTCTCAGCTGACATCCGCGCTCCTTCTTACGACATGTACTGTTGATGTTGGTCTTGTCTTAGTCTGAATTGGCATCTTCGGACGATGCCTTATACTCGAGTAGTCTCCTCGGGCTTCCTCTGAATCTAACTCAACCCACTGCGGACCGCAGACCTGTGGATAGCAAAGACCGTGAAAGATCTTCGTGGTTGGCAATGCGGTAGCCACGATATGGCAAGATGAGCTCGGAGCCAATACGAGAGGCATCAATGTGCCTTATCGGAACCTCATCTTGGATACTGCCGGCTTGCTGCTGAATAGACAGACTCTTTCTCTTGCGCTTCATGCAAGCTGCACGCAACTGCTTGGCAGTCTGCACGCTGCTTCTACTAGACTATCCCCTTGGCAGCTCAGCAGTCCTTGCACTTCAAGAAGGACCTCCGCAAACATGCTACGGTGAAACACATCGAACTGCGACTGCAAACTAAGATCCGAACTCGCTGTGTGACTTGAGCTTCAACATCGTCCTGGACTTGTCCCAAGGACTGTGCCTGAATTGAGCCGAACTGACTGAGACATACTGAGACGGAAAAAAAATCTGTGCCATACCTAAGCCGCCAACTTCAAGAGCCGGAAGCTGTCAGACAAGCCTGGGGTAGTTCTGGGTGTGGTATGGCTATAAGGTGCACGGAGACAGGATTGCGAGTATACATGAGGATATATCGAGGATCGTGCCAGTTGTCAGACCTACGCGCTCCCTCTTGGAGAGGAACACTTGCCTTAGCCACCACAGCAGAACGCAGCGTGGCTTCACCAAAGGCAAGCAAGTGCCGACTTTTCTCTCGCGTTCTGACATTGAAGCGCAATGATGGCACTCGAGTGAGGAACTACTTAGCGTCTCTGAAGCTTACTGATTTGATGTGATTGATGTGTTGCGCAGTCAGTTCCGTTGTCAAGTCGGCAGTTCGAGCTTCGGCTCTGGGCATCTGAGCTTACTTGAGCGGCGCAAAGAGTTCCAGGGCCCTCTGCTCAGTTGGGGCGTGACACGAAAAGGAAACGAAGCCTCGTGCCTGCTTGTGTCAAGCTTGTGAAATCTGCCCAATGGGGGATGACCATGCGGACAGGACATGTTCTCAGGGCCTTTGCATTACTCCGACCTGACGCTTCTGGTCTCAACCTACCCTTCCATCATTCCATCTCCAACCATCCCGGGCCCAATAAGCTTTTCTGGTCAAACATACTGTTCTCACGCATGGGTCATACTGGATTGGACAGCATTCGCCTTGCTGCCGTCGACAGTGCCACCGTGAATATGAATGGACGATCAGTTGGCAGCCATCTTATGCGAAGCGATGGGTTTGTGATGGTGTATGGGCATGTCGGGTGCCGTTGGTAACTTGCAAGCTTCGAAAAGGCGCCTGTCGGGCAAAGATACACTGCAGGGTCCAACCGATCTGAATGTGCGGTGAGGATGGGGACCCTCGACCGCTGTGCGTCATGCACGAAGACATCGCGCAACGATGCCGAATACACCACGGCGCCACACTTGTAGACGTATATATATATATATCATGAAACGATGCCAATGCTTCGGCCCCTGGAGCCTCAACACTCAAAACGCGAGCCTTCTGCTACTCAATCGGGAAAGGCTAAATGAATCTGCACGTGCCCATCGTGCACAAGCCAACTAAGCTGTCTACGCTCCTGTGCCGTCAATCTTCCAACTCATTCTCGGCATTCGGCCTGACAGCCGACTCGAATATCCTTGTAAAAGGGAGATCATTTGATTGTAACCCGGCCTTCATAAGTCGCAAAAGTTGCTGCACTGTGCTCCAAGTCCTGCATGCTGCACACTGGCGATCCGCAGCCCATCAACGAGGTCATACGTTCAGCGTCCTTTCTGCCTTCCACAGAAGGGATTGCTGGCCCAAAGCGTTCGGCTCTTGGGACTGTGCTTCCAGCCTCCACACTGAAAGCTCAAAAGCATCGTTTCCCACAACGTCATTATAAAAGTGCTATTGCGCAAGGAAATGTTGAAATGGGTAACTCTACTCATTTGTGGCTGTAAGCACTTTGCTTAGTCTGGCTTGTCCCTAAGTGCATGCATGCACTGCACAATAAATGAGCCAAGTCAGAACAAGATCAGCAACAGCAGCGACATGCGAGAGGAATGGCTGAACCCAACGCATTCCAGAGCCGGGACGTCTCAGCATTGCGCTTTGGAAAAGCCAATGAGGGTGAATCGAGTTGTAGTACTACTCCAGATAACTAAATGTCACCTTGAACTTGTTTCCACGGAGAGGATGTGCATCTGGCATGACCTTCACAAGCAAAAGCAAAACTGCAGAGCATCCCACAGCAAGGCTTCTAGGACCGAATCTGAAAATAGCCTCCGCAAAGAATTCCGGACCTCTCTTGCAATAGCCAGGCCTGCTGTCATGGATGCAAAGCTCCAACCACAATAGCCAAGTCAAATCGGAAGAGCTGCAAACCAACATGGATGCCGCTTCTCAGAGATTGGCCCACGCTCTTTCGTGAAGTTTTCTGAATCCTCGGCATAAACCCAGGCAGCACATCATCAAACGGTACCAGGGCTTGCCAATCATGCAACAACTCTAGAGGAACAAGTGGGCACATGAAAGACACAAGCAAGCAAGACTTAGAACCTGTTTTTGTCTGTGATTTGTTCATTCATCTATTGCGCGAGTGGCCGAAACTTCGTGGCAGACCGTATGAGCCATGAGCAGGAGCTACCGAACGCGGGAGGTGAACATGATAAGCAGGACGCCACTCTTTCAGACTTCCAGGCATGTTACGGCATGTTGAGTACACAAATTGTCATCGACGTTTGATCTGGAGAGCAAAACTGCATGATGGCAGCCTCGGCCCCACGTTCTCCCTGGAGCTGCGTCCATGTTCGAAAACTGGGAAAGGAGTTCTTCGGACTTCGGACTTGTTCACAGATGGTTCTGTTTCCCTGAACCAGCTCTGCGACCGTGGCATGATATGTCTTGTGAGAGGACCCTGTAAAGGAGCCTGTTCCAGTTCTATGAGTCACACAAGAAGACATGCAAGACAGCGCTGTCGGAGCGCATTGATGTGCAAGTCTCAGGTCGGAAATACTTCGGAGACTGTACAGACACTCCTTGACACTACCACATACTAGAGTAGTCCCACAATGTCTCACACACTGGTCTTACGGTTGAATGACACTCAGTCAGTGGCGAAGCCCGGAATCTCATCGGGGTGCAACCTTGGAGGTCAGTCTCAAACACTTGGTTGCGACAAGCTTCTGACTGCCTCCCCGCATTGTCCACACGAAATGCAGTAACCATCATCAACCATCTAATGTTGCACTGCGTTTAATCAAAGCAGAGTCTATGATCACAAGCTTCGAACATTTATTCTGCAAACTGAGTTTGTTGGTGTGACCCGCTGTTCCGGACGGCTGCTTTTTTAAAGGTTTGTGTTTAGGATTGCTGGGAGAGCCAGAGCCCGGAGAATCCAGAAAGGTAAGCCTTATTGAATTTCATTATCCTTCAGGCCTTGAAGCCCTAAAAGCTTTTCAGGGCCATGGCGGAACCCCCCACCCCAAGTTTTTGTTCGGGGGGGTTGCCATGCCATGCGTTTGTAGAGGGTCCAAATTTGTTGGGGGGGGGGCGGGGGGCCCTTGTTTATTAAAGGCAGTGCAACATTAAACATCAGCAGCCACTCTACGGATCACCACCCCTTAAGAAAAACACCCGGGGGGGGTCCCCCACAGTGTTTTTTCAATTGGGGTTCGGGGGAGGTCGGTGCTTTTCCTTGTGTTTTCGCACCCGCACCTCGCCCAAATCCGAAGCCGAAAACATTGGAAAAACCACGTTTGGGATTTCTAACCCATCAAAAAACTGGGCTTAAGGTGCATGTCGGGGTTCCGCTTAAACTCATTTTGTGCAACTATTCTGGACTCTGCAATCCTGCCCTGCACCATAAACCGACTGCCCAGGCAACGAGATACTGGACCCGTCGCTTCAAACTTTTCCAAAAAACAGGGTTTGATGTATATCTCGGGGCTCCACTTAACGTGTTCTTTGCGCCACTATTCTGGATACTGATCTTTCATTGCCCAGAAAACGGGTGCAAAGGAGACGAGGCACTGGATCTTCACTTGATTATCCGGATGCATTTGAAACGTAGTTCTCTTCCACTCCCAAAACTGGCCGCCAGGATACGAATCAGACAAACAATTGAAGCCCTCAAATTGCAGACTGCCAAAAAAGAAGGACCTGGCCGAGGGTCATTTCACGACGTAGCAATCGCAAGACTGCGGACAATCCAACAATCAACGCACGCACCCACGCCTTCTAGCTTCCAAACTCCAAACAAAGGCTTAAACCGCCAAAATCCTGCGAGTACCCCGTTTGCACAGAGAGAGCTTCTCTCTGCCTCTGTGGAGTGCTGGGGCTCCGGGCTTCAGGTCCAAACTTGGGCTTACTCAGGCACCGAGCTTAAACTTTCCTATTGTAGGGGACTTATAGACCCAAAAAGTTTAAAGTTAGGTGCTCTGCCAAAAGTGCGGCCTTGTGGTGCCTCCCTTGGGGTTTAAGGCTTTTAGGAGGTTTTCGGGTTCAGGATTGCTGCTTGTTTAAGGTTTCGCTTGCCCTGGTTTAAACTGAAGGGTTTAGGCCTTAGAGCTTGGGACGCGCGTGTGTGTGTGTGTGTGTGTGTGTGTGTGCGTGTTTAGGCCTTAGAGCTTGGGACGCGCGTGTGTGTGTGTGTGTGTGTGTGTGTGTGCGTGTGCGTGTGCGTGTGCGTGTGTGTGTGTGTGTGTGTGGGGTGTGTGGGTGTGTGGGTGTGTGGGTGTGTGTGTGTGTGGTGTGTGGGTGTGGTGTGGGGGTGGTGTGGGTGTGGGGTGGTGTGGGGTGTGGCCGTGCGCGTGGGCGTGCGTCGTGGGCGTGCGCGTGCGCGTGCGCGTGGCG